TAAATAATAATATATATATATATATATATATATATATATATATATATATATTACATATATAATTCACTTTTGATACATATTGCAGATTTAACATAGTATTGCTATAAAATATAAAAATAAAAAGTATCGATAAAATCAGTAATTATTTATTAAAATCTATCAATTCACGTAGTTCTCCCTAAATTATTAATTATATGTTTATATGAGTATTACACAAACCCCCCACCACTCACCCCACCCCGAAAAAACCCGAGGTTGAAAAATCTGGTTTTTATTTGTTTGATTTGGTTCATAGAGTTAAAAATCTAACACAAATGGTTTGATTTGATCTTTGAAAAACTCGAACCAATCCAATCACATACGAACAATACCCCTCGATTGTTGTGTATATATCGCTGATATCTCATATATTTTTCATCGTATGTCACGTATATCATTGTATAAAAATATACGTAAGAGATATAAGTGATTTGTATTGTACATATGTCAATTTATATCATTGTAGGTCATGTGTATGTCAAGGATATGGTATATGTATATATCTACATACATATCACGTATAGTCTTTCACTTCAATTTAGTTACGATATTAGTTATCTTCCTATCTTGTAGTATCTTTGTAACATTTTCATCTTCAATTGTTAATTGTTTATCATTCTAAAGTCAAAACTATGTTATATATTCATCTAACGCCACCATATAAAAAGCATAAATTTAAATGTTTCAATTATATGCATTCTAAACTATGTTATTTACTTATTTACTTGTTGAGGCAAAACGTTGCGTACATATATATCTAGTTTTACTTGTTCAAAAAGCCTTGCTACGAAATGGAGTATCAGTACTCAAGGGTAAAATATTACAAATCAAATAAATTATGAATTATATTTGTAGAAGTGGAAATCGTTTACTCATTGTCAATTAGCTCATGGAAGAAAACGTACCATGTCACATCATCCATTTAGACATATTATTGGAGATTACGTATACTTGTCGCGGAGCGTATTTTCATGTCCTGTCACTTTACGAAAATTCTAAGTCTGTGACAATAGGCTAACAAGGTCATGATTAGACATACGTGAAGAGAGACAAAATAATTTGACCGATTTTCTTATAAATGAGGACTACAATCATGAAGAGTTGTTGATACTCTGCTATCAAGCATTTCAGGACATGAGACTTTTTTTTCTTTGACGAATTTAAGCAATGTTGCGTATGAACGATTTTAAGATTTTTCGTTTATTTATTTCCTACCATATCTACCAAAAAGAAGAAAAAAAAGCTCCCTACAATCTCAGTCCAAATTTGTTCTTCTTATAGGCAAACGTTGCATTCATTTGCGTTACTTGTTCAAATTTGAAACCTTCTCTATATCTTGTGATACTTATTATTTATTCAAAAACCCATTATTCTAACTCTTAGTTAGATTTCCACAACTTGTATATATTCGAAAGGTTTAATTAGTGCACGTGGTCTTAGACTCTCAAACATATATATATATATATATATATATATATATATATATATATATA